CAGACATAGGTATTTTGCCTGAATTTATGTGCACTACAAGTATGCCTGGTGCCTGTGGAGGTCAAAAGACTTTAATGATCCCCTGGAATTGGAGTTGCAGGTAGTTGTGAGTGAGCCCCATGCTAGAACTGAACATGGGTCCACTGCAAGAGCAGCAAGGAGTCTTAACCAATGAACAACCTCTCCAGGACCATCTCTTTTTAGTATACAACATAGATTTCCAGAGTTTTGAACTAAAAGAAGTTAATACAGATCACCCAGCCTACACCCTCAGGAGAAACTAAAGCCAAGAAAAATTAAGAGGGCTTGTTCTAGGTAAAGACTGTAACCAAGAGGGACTGGAGAAATGACTCAATGGTAAGAGCTCTAGTTCTTCTTCTAGAGGACCTGGGTTCAATTCCAAGCATCCATATGGTGGCTCACAACTTTAACTTCAGTCCAAGGGTTTCTAACACCCTCACACAGACACACTTACAGGGAAAACACCAATGCATATAAAATAAAATAATTTATATATATATATAAAAAAAGATTGCAACCAAAAGAATCAAAACTAAGACTTGGATCCCCTGGGGCTTATCATTTAGGGCTTTACATCCTAATCACAAGAAGCACAGTCTTAAATACCATACTCCCAAATGATGAAACCCCAAAAGATTATAATACAAAATCTGCAAGATCAAGAATCCAAAGCCGGGCAGTGGTGGTACACAACTTTAACACCAGCACTCAAGAGGCAGAGGCAGGCAGACCTCTGAGTTTGAGGCCAGCATGATCTACAGAAAGAGTTCCAGGATGGCCAGAGTTACACAGAGAAACCCTGTCTCTCAGAAATAATAATTCTGGGAGAAAATAATTTTAAAAAACTGTTTAAGTGGAGCATAGTGATGCAAATCTGTAATCTCATCATTTAAGAAGGAAAAGAAGGAATATCAGAAGTTCACAACATCCTCAGCTACATACTAAACTAGAGGCCAGCCTGAGCTACATGAGACCCTATTTCAAGTGAACAATAATAAATAAAATGTTTAAAAGGCATTTACTTAAGGGCTGGAGATATAACTTAATGTTAGACAAACTATATCCATGGAAAAATAGGTTATCTGCATTGTGTCACACTCATGGAATCCCAGGACTCAAAACCAGGAAGCAAAACCAGGAAGATCTGAATTAAAAAGGGCAGCTGGACAGCACAGCAAGACTCCACTTCAAAACCAAAACAAAACAAGGGAAGGACAAGATGGCACAGTCCTTTGTTCCCAGATTTTGGGAGACAGAGGCAGTGGATCTCTGTGAATTCAAGACCAGCCTAGTCTACAAATCAAGATTCAGACCAGCCAGGACTACACACTGACCCCATCTCAAAGAACAAAAAATAAACACAGGCTAGAGAGATGGCTCAGCAGTTAAAAGCATATTCTGCTCTTGCAGAGGATGTAGGTCAAGTTCCCTGCACCCACATGATGGCTCACAATCAACTATAACTCCACATAAACTCATGTAGACAAAACAATCATGCATATAAAACAAATAAAAATTAAAGGCTTTTGGGGTTGTTTTTGTTTGGTTGATTTTTTGAGACAAGGTTTCTCTGTATAGCCCTAGCTATCTTAAAACTTGCTTTGTAGACCAAGTTGGTCTATAGCTCAGAGATCTACCTGCCTCTACCTCCTGAGTATTGGGACTAAAAGTGTACACCACCACTGCCCAGCAAAAATTAAAGTTTAAAAGGAAGAAGAAAAAAAACCCTACAGTTTTCTTAATAATTTGAAAATAAAGAAAAAGAAACTTTCTAAAATTTCACAGATGCCCAAAAACCCCACCTCTTCATTACTAGCATCAGCATCTCTACGTACAAGCCAAATTCACTGCTACACACCAACACACATCCAAAAAAAGGTAGAAAAACAAACATTATTCTGGTTTTGTTATTGTTTGTTTTTGAGACAGGTTTTTAACTATATACCCTTGGCTGGCCTGGAATTCTCTGCATAGACCAGGATAGTCTTTGAACTCACAAAGATCCACCTGCCATTGAGTGCTGAGACTAAAGGTGTATGCCATCATGCTTGGCCCAAATCGAAATTCTTAAGTCTTTACACACTTTATACAAAATGAAGCAAGATGAGATATATAGCAGAGAAAAATCACATAATTTAAAATATGTGATTTAAAATAAAGGAAATAAATAAAAAGGAAAGAAAGCATGAAAACTCAACACATGAGTAAGGATAGATTATGGGCAACTACAAGAAAATAGTTTCATATCAAGATGAGTATTTGCCTTTCTTAGAGAATATGCTTGAGTTTTTTGGGTGCTGTTCTTCTGAAATTCTATGAGTCATAAAAAAACAATCACTCCCTATCTATCAAAAAGTTCCATCTTGGACTGGATCCATGGCTGAGAGGTTAAGAATGCTTTCTGTTCTTCCAAAGGACCTGAGTTTAGTTCCCAGCACCCACATAAGAAGGCTCACACTGCCTGCAACTCCAGTTCAAGGAGATCTAACAATCTTTTCTAGCCTCTGTGGGCATCCTCACACACACAGTAGACACACAGGTATAGAACTTTTTTTTTTTTTTTTTTTTTTTTTTTTTTTTGAGACAGGGTTTCTCTATGTAGCTTTGTCCTGGAACTCAATCTGTAGACCAGGTTGACCTGAAACTAAGAGATCCACCTGCCTCTGCCTACCAACGGCTGAGATGAAAGGTGTGCACCACCACCACCTGGCTTAAAATAACACATTTTTAATCTAAGTTTTCATTACTGCTGTGTTGCACAGCCAATATACTCATTCTGTTGTCTACAGTTTTACCATTGTAAGCACTTGATCACAACTGAATTAAGTATCAAATGCACTGGTTAAATGGAAAACAAAACAAACACAACACTTTACGTACGGACCACACTTGCTAAAGGCAATTTCCTAAACCGTCACTATCTGTTGTTACTGTCTTGAGATGAAATTTAAGCTCATTTTCTAAAACCTCTCCCAAATCTCCAAAGTCTTTTCAAAGCTTCCCTTTTCCCAGTTATTAACAACAGAGCATCAAGTTTTAAAATGTTCAGGCCTAACAGAGGCATGAATTTTGTATTTTTTTTTTTTTTAATGGAGATAGTTTTGGGGCCATGCATTAACCAAACTGAGGTATTCTGTTGTTAAGACTTGAGAATAAGTATTCGTGTCTTCTTCAGGAGTCAAATTGAGTTCTCTCTGCTCATGAGTTTTTGTTCAGGTCACTGAGCTTCTCAAGCTCCTTCTGACGGACATTCTTTGAAAGGAGCACAGTGCTGTGTATAAGTGGCAGCTGCACCCAACAGTAATTCAGGAGGGAAGACCTTGAATTTTAAGACAACATTTTCACAGCAATCTTGGTAACACTGCACTATCATTTGAATATTTCTATTAAACACATGTGTCCCTTTGAAAGGATAGTTATTTTTTTTAATTAAGTAATAATCACAGCAGCAATAATTAGCTTACATTTTTTTAACTTCCTGGGCAACGCCTTTAATCCCAGCATTTGGGAGGCAGAGACAGGCAGATCTCTGTGTATTTGAGGTAAGCCTGATTTACAAGAGAATTCCAAGACAGTCAGGACTACATAGAGACCCTGTCTCAATTGGGGAAAAATATTCAACTTAAAAAAAATGTTTTCACACTTATTTTGTGTGTTTGTGTAAGTACATGGGTATCCCTATGGAGGGCAGAGGGTAAGAAGCATTACTGAATCAGTTCTCCCCTTCCACACATAGATTTCAGGAATCAAACTCAGGTAGGCAGGCTTGGGGGCAAGCACTCTCATCCACTAAGCTGTCTTGCTGACCCTAGCTTTAAAATGGTTATCTTTAACCAACAAGTAACCCTGTACAATTAAATAATCACTGTCTTGGTGACAGTGAGATGATGCAGCAGAAAAGGCACTTGGCCACCAAAACTAATACACATACATACAAATAAACAAATGTAAATTACAAGATTATGAATTAAACCTTTTTATGAGGGAACAATTTTGCAGATTTCATTATGTTCTAAGGAATAAGAAGGCATGATGCTGTTTCCCCAATACCAAATCTATATTAGTAAAAATATATTCAAACACCAGTTATGAGATACAAATACAGAGATACAGATATGAAAAGGGTTTATTGAAGGCACTGGTTCACACAATTATTGTGACTGAGAAGTCTCATAGGCTGTCTGGAGGGGATGCCAGGAGCATGACTCAGATCAAGCCCAAAGGCCTAAGAACCAGTAAAGCTAATGAGATAACTCTCAGTCTACGGCTCAAAGCCTAAGGATCCTACACCACTAGTGTAAGAGTCCTAAGGCCAAGAGTTTCAAAGTGCACAATAGCAAAAAGAAATGATCCTAACTTTTTCAAAGACCATGATAGTTAGCTTCTGTGTTTGTCCTTGACAGGCCTTAGCCTACTGGATGGTGTACAACCATACTAAAAAGGTTCTTCCCTTACTCCATACAGACTCAGACATTAATCGCCTCTGAAAACCTCACATACACATCATAAACAATGCTCAACCTAGATTTTTGGTAATTGCTACACCTAATGTGATACAACTACCAAACATAGGGTCACCAATGTTCTAATCCCCTCTTCATTATTTACCTTTTTACTCCTAATATACCCTTTGCTTTCTGCTATAGGAATATAGGGACTGAGGTTTTCAGAATTCTGACTTCCAAAATTTCACATTGTAGATTTTACTCTTTCAGGATTATGACTTTTGAGATTTTATACTTCTAGGACTCCACTTGTCACTAGACAGCTGTGAGTCCAGCTTTCAGGATTTATGCCTGACACCATATTTTTTACTGCTTTCCCAAAAATCCAAGCAGTCTCCCTTTCCTCCCATGTGAACACTCAAAGTTTTCTGTTTTTCTGTTTCACATTTAGATGGTAATCTCTTAACTGCAACTTTTTTTTTAAACTTTCATTTTAAAAATTGGCTCAAACACATGAATACTAAAAGTACCAACAAGTTCAACCAGGAAAACACCATTTCCAGTTCCAATGTCAAGCACTGAGGCATCCGATGGAATCTTGTGTTTTTGCATCCACCTTATTAGTCGGTTCATACTCTCTTCCCCAAACCTGTTTAGGAATAGGATACAAAGAGCATACACACAATAAAAGTTACAACTATATTTCACTTAAGCTGCTTATACCATATGCTCACTTTAGTCTTTTCTGAAAAGTAAGAATATTTTAACTGTTTACGCTTCATCTTTATTGTTATTTAGATTACATTTCTAAAGATGGAATACCCAAGGTATATGTTATATAGACTAATACATGTAAATAAGTAATGAGTACATAAAATATACATATTTATAATCACACATGTATACATATACACATACTATATTTAATCAGCATTAATCCTTTAAAATGTTGTGCTAATAACTGCCTTCTTGGACATCAGCAAATATTGGTACTTTCACTACCAAAGAAATTAAGAATTTCATTACTTAATTGAAAAATTACAACTATGGAATGAAAGTAACTTCCTAGTATTATAATAAATTTAAACCTGGGTCACTAAAAAAGAAAAGAGATATTTTAAAGCTGTCATTGAAGCAAGAGTCAGGCAGAGGCAGGTGGATCTCTAAGTCTGAGGTCTATTGAGCAAGTACAGGGAAATGCTGTTTCAAAAAAAGAAAGAAAGAGAAACAAAGGAAGGAAAAGAGATACTTTAGAGCCACTGAAGCCAGCATGCTTCTAGACTGTCATTGTTGTTAAGTTCACTTGCTCATGCTCTCTCACACCCACAAAAACAATTCCTTAGCTTAACTCACCAGATTTCTCCTGTATCTCCATATTCTCGGAATGTTCTCAGTTCTCTCTCATAAACAGCATCCCAACTACATAAACAATCAAATGTGAAGCAAGATTCCCAAATTAAACTGTATTTTGTGAATCAAACAGATTATTCCTAATGAATTACATGGCTACTTACAATGGTCTTAAAACATTATTAGTGTTATCAATAAATGCATACAGTTCAATTTTTTTTAACATCCTTGGGTTAAAAGAATGAAAATCATGGGCAAGCAGATAAATCAAACAAGTACTTATACTCATCTGATGCATAATCCTATATCCATTTTAGCTTAAAGAATAAAAACAGACAACTGCCCAAGAATCTCTTAAGTCCCAGACCAAGCTCAAACTGGACTGCACAAACTGAGTTTGTTACTCCAAACTTCATCATCAATGTGCAGATACAAGATTTTCTAACCAGGTTTACTCACAATAAACACAGCAAAGACAAAATTAAAAACTACGTGCTAACACAGTCTCTGCCTCTCCCTGTATTCTAGCTTTCCCATTAAATCTCTTAATCCTTATAAGGGCAAGCCCCCTCCCCTTACCATTTGCTTTCTCCTCCTAGTTCATCTCTGCAATCCATGCTCCCTCACCTAAATTTCCTCTCATCCTAATCCCTGTTCCCCACATTCATCCATCTATATTCTAACCTATTAATTCCTTAGCCTCAACTTTAGATCATAACACTTTCTTTCTCCCAGAACCCCTACCATCTACCTAGCTTACAGATGAGAGAGCATCCTCCACTCCGACCTCCTCCAGATCCCGCATCTCAAAGCTGACCCGGACCGTTGTCCGGTGCGTTGACCAGCCCTCCCTCTCCCCCAGCCAGATTCCAAACCCCTACACCGGCTCCCTAAGGTCCTCGGGTGCTCTTGAGTCCCTTGAGAGAGGGTTAACCGCTGCCCAGGACTTGCGGGGGATCTCGCCCCTTCAGCACCCACAGGTGGTCTCCATCCTCCACCCTCAGGCCCCCGCCGCGGATTGGGGGTGAGGGGGCGCCATCTCCTTCCGGGCTTCAGGCTCCCGCTTACCCTCCCCGCCACACTCACTGCTCTCGTGTCCCCAGCGCCGACGGGACGAAGTCAGCCGCCACGGGACTGCCGTCTCGAGACCGTACAGGGACCGCAGCGCCGCAGTGGCCGTCAGCATCCGCGTTCATGTCGCTCTGTGCCTAATGGGCTGTCGCGGCCGCCATAGAGACGCAGAGACGCGGTTCGGGCAGAGGGGACGCGCAAGCTTGGCCTCTCTAGGCGATGGAAGACCGTCTCTCTCTAATGCTCCAGACAGCGGCATGGGAGGCCGACCCGCAGTAGAGAACCTAGGCTTCTCCCTCCAGCCATCATCGCTTGTACCCCTTACTCAGTTGCTTTCAAAGTGACCATATCTGGGGACTGCTTTTTGTAAGGCATCGTTCAAAGTACTGCACTTTGGGAACACGCTGTCAGAAGCCACAAAAAAAAAAAAAAAAAAAAAAAAAAAAAACACCGGAAACACACACCTGTCAGTCCGAATGCATTCTCTAAGTGAGGCACATCTGGAAATTAGTAGGACAGCCCATCTTATTACTGGCTTCCCGACCAAAATACTAATTTCATTTTTAGCTAGAATTCTGGAAGTGACTTGATGTAACCTGCTGGCCTTTTAAGAACTTTTGGTCAAGGAATTGAAAGCTCACCGCCCATGGAGTTGTGATAAAATGAGTAGCAAAATGATCAGGTACCTGGGTAGGTCTTCCTCTGCCCCCAGCTAGGCATCTGAGCCTGTCCAAGCCTCAGCTTCTACAGTTTGAGCAAACTGTAGTTTGCTCAAAATAAAAGGTGGCTTGTTCCTCAAGACTTCATGAATCTGAGATATCTTCTGCCTATTGCTCTTGACTGCAGCTGGTAGTTCTGCAATACAATGGAAAAGATCTTATGTGTCATGGGCCTAGAATATTTTCTGTACTAGCCATGATACTCATGGTCCAACGTCCTAGGCAAGGATTTCAGAGACTCCTAACAAGCTGCCTTCCCATGAAAACTTGTTTCCAAGGCTACATTTCTGTTGACTCCACAGACAGAAGCCCTGTAACAAGTCCCTTGAGGCAAATGGCAACAACAGTTGCCCTCCCAGTTTGCAGTTCATCTTCTCCTACACATGGTGTTCCAAGATCTTCTGGCAATAAAGAATAAAGTAAAGGGCAGATGGAAATCCATGTACATAGTGATTAAAGAACTCAAGAAAGAGCGTAAGTAACCTTATTACAGAGCAATAAAACCACCGGATACCGCAGCCAATTAGTGCTGCCTTGGGCAAGTAGCTGTTTTGATCTTTTCTAGACTCTAGATTCTACAGAAAGCAAGCCTGAATGTGACGCACTGAGTCTTTAAAAGTTTTCAGTTCTAATTAAGAAGCAGCCATGAAAGATAAGCCTGCCTTCAGCCTAGTATCTTGCCAACACTTAAGATGATTTTTCCTGTGTGATGAAAGCTATAAACAGTCGTTGGTACGGAGCCCTGGGAAAAACCATGGTTTACACCAAATCCCTTCCCTGACTCCAGGAAGGATTATTCTGGCTGCTTAGTCCTGAGGGCTGTGGAGACACCACCTCTGATCGCCCAGGGAAAGGGGATTCTTGGCTGGCGGAGAAGTTCCATTGGTTAAGCTATCTAGGGAAAAACAAAACTATATACGGAACACAGCCCCTCCCACAGAGCAGCAGTTATAGGAGCCCAAAGGCAGACTAGCACAACCTGAGGTTGCCAGTGGTTTTTTTGTTTTGTTTTGTTTTGTTTTGTTTTATTTTGTTGATCCCTGCTGGCTAGCAGTGTCCACCCACAGCTTCTCTGGAACTATGCTTCCCAGAGTCCTCAAACACTTCCCATTTGACAAATCCAAGATCAAGGACAGAGCTTTTACTTCTTTGATCATGCAACAGTCAGTACCAGAGAACACACTAAACACACCTCTAGAAAAACCCTCTTTATCTCCTCCCCTGCCCCATTTCTCACTTCTGCTTTGATGTGAGTTTCTATTTTGTTTTGTTTTGATAGTTTGGTTTGGGTTATTTGGTTGTTTGTTTGGTTGGTTTTTCCAGACAGGGTTTCTTTGTGTAGCTTTGGCTGTCCTGGAACTAACTCTGTAGACCAGGCTGTCCTAGAACTCAAAGAGATCCACTTACCACTGTCTCCCAAGTGCTGAATTAAAGGCATGAGCCACCACCACCCAGGTGATGTGAACTTTTGAAAGGGGACAGGAGGCACTCAGTTCTTGAGTTCGATCCCCATGTTTTGAAACCAGGAATCACCATGGGCAAGTTCTTTTAACTTCCCCAGGTCAATTTGCATAGCATATATTAACAAGCATAATAGTAGCACCTAGCACACAAGGGACCTAGAGAATGTCAATGAGATTACTCCAGTCCAATCCTACCTGTCTGACACATGAGGAAATGGTCAGAAAATTTAAAGTTCTGTTCTTTTTCAACTATAAAATAGGGGTTAAAAAATATACTGCTTCACAGAAATGTCAGGAAGTATAAGTGAATGTACTGTATGTTTAAAGAGCCTAGGAAAGACCTGACATATAGTCAGGGTTCAGTTATTATCTGTATTACAAGTTGAACATATTGCTCTAGTTTGGTTTTCTTTTGCTGTGGTAAAATGCTGACCAGCATCTTAAATGAGGAAAGGGTCTATTTGGCATACAGGTTATATAACCCATCACTGAGGGGAAACCAAGGCAAGAACTCCAGGCAGAAGCTTCAAGGCAGGAACTGAAGCAGGTTTCTGAGAAGGAACACTTACTGGACTGTTCCCCACACCTTACTCAGCTACCTTTCTTAAATAGCCCAGACCCACATGCCCAAGGATAGCACTGCTCACTTCAGTCAGCAATCAGAAAATGTCCCACAAACATGTTCAGAGGCCAATCTGATGGAGGCAAGTCCTCAATTGTGATTCCCTTTTCCCCAGATATGTCTAGGTTTATGTCAAGTTGACAAAAACCAACCAGCACAATCACTAATCCAGGAGCTAAAATCTAAACAGCTCCAAAATCTGAAGTAATTCTGGTCCTAAGTATATCAGGTAAAGAATCCCCTAGCCCAGTGAGTTTCAACTTTTCTTTTTTTTTTAATGGTTTTTCAAGACAGGGTTTCTCAGTGTAACTGGCTGTGTTCCAGGCTGTCCTGGGACTCACTTTGTACACCACACTGGCCTCAAACTCTCTGAGATCCATCCACCTCTGGCTCCCAAGTGCTGGGATTAAAGGCTTGTGCCAACACAGCCCATCGGTTCTCAGCTTTCTTAATGCAGCAACCCTTTAATATAATTACTCATGTTGTGATGACCTTCAACCGTAAAGTTATTTCATTGCTTCTTCATAACCTCAATTTTGCTACTGTTATGAACCATAATGTAAATATCTGATCTGCTGAAACCCACAGGTTGAGAACCACTGTCCTAGCCTGTAATGACTTCCAGATTAACCTCTTGCCCCAGTTCCAACTTATTCTTCTAGCTGCCTAGACTTTTCTTAATACCTTAAATTCAATGAAACTGGATGTATGGGTCCCACCCATGGCCTCACATCTCTCTTTTTAAAAATGTTATCACATTCTTATTCTGTATGCAAACCCCCTCTCCCCTGAAAACACATACACATGTGTACATAGTGTGTGGAGAGGTCAGAGGATAACCCTCAAGAGTCAGTTCTTTCCTTCTACCATGTGGGGTCCAGGGATTGAACTTTGTGCTGAGCTAGTGGTGCCTGCCTGTGCCTCCCAAGTATTAAGATTAAAGGCAGGTACCACCAGCCCAGCGCATGTCCACTCCCCTCAGTAACCTGCTGATAAGATAAAAAACCATCTTCTTTGGACTCTACACTTTTTTCACACAGCATTTACTCAACAGTTATGAATTGGGCATTATTCCATATAGTAAAATACAACAGCAAACAAAACATGAATCCTTATTTTCATGAATTTCAGAATAGGCTAGCAGGGGAAAAAGGACAATTATCTGGAAAATGGACTAAAAAATAGAGATAAAGTTAGATAGTGATAGGTTTAGCGTTATCAACTTGGCATATCCTAGAATTATCTGGGAAGCGAACCTCAATTAAGATATTGCCTCATAGGTGGGACCCACAAATTCAGTTTCATTGAATTTAACAATTGTGGGGTATTGTCTCAAGAGAGTCAGAAACAATAACCCTCACTTCATATAAGAGTACTGGAGACTGACCCGACAGTGTTGGCGCACTCCTTTAATCCCAGCACTCAGGATGCAGAGGCAGGCAGATCTCTGTGGGTTTGAGGCCAGCCTGGTCTACAAAGTGAGTTCCAGGACAGCCAGGGCTACACAGAGAGACCCTGTGTCAGAAACCAAAACCAAACCAAACTAAAACCAAACCAAAAAAAGAGAAGCAGTTTATTTAGCAACCTTGAAAACGCCTATGTTTTCAAGTCTAGGATGGCATGTCTACTGAGTGCAAAGTAGTTATAAGCCCTAACAAATGAACTTTCCTTCCTTTCTTGAATAATTAGGAGGGTATAATCCTAACAACAACAACAACAAACATGAGTGGGTCTCCCCCCAAGTTTTACATCTTGCTTAATTTATTAATTTTATTTTTGGTTTTTCAAGACAGGGTATCTCTGTATAGCCCTGGATGTTCTGGAAATCTATCTATAGACTAGACTGGCCTCTAAATCAGAGTCTCACCCACTTCTACCTCCTGAGTGCTGGGATCAAAAGCATGAGCCACCACAGCCCAGCGTCATGCTTATTTTAAAGCTTATCAAACAATGACCTTGTAGGCAAGCTTAGTTGTTTGTGATTTTTCTACTGTAAATGTACATTTTGGGAAGGTAGCTTATTAAAGTTTGTATGTAGGACTAGATAGACTAGCAGGCTTTAGGGAGGGTCAAATTTTTTCTGTTCATGTCTAGCTGGATCTAAGCTGGTTCAAGGAACCTTTGAAAAGTGAACCATCAGATTTAATTTCTAACAATTGTTAATTTATGTAGGAGAGCCCAGCCCTTTGTGGGTGGCATATAGGCATAATATGAGAAAACTAGCTAAGCTGGAAAGAACTGCTGTTGGAAAATTAGGTTGTCTTTCTCAGGGAATAATTTCAGATGTTATGTTGGGAGCCGTCAATGGAAAACTTACCCAGTAGCTAGGCTAAGCCAATCAGGCCTGCAAGAAGGGGTCTGGGTGGCCTTTCAGAACACCTAGAGCAAGCATAAAACAGTAAGTGATGCAGTTGTCT